ACTACTGCTCTGTGTTGGGGAAGGGGGGCGGTGGGGGAGGGTCACAGAGAGGGGGCAGGGGGAGGTCTCTAAGAGTAGAGTCGAGCGTCGCCTCAGGCTCGCTATTTCTGAGCGAAAGGTTTCCAGGAGCTGAAAATCAATGTTAATCTGAGGCCACCTGGGCGTGTAAACAGAATCATAATGGAACTATATACACCCCCACACACACACCGAGGTGATACACACCTCCAGAAAGCTGCAACAAACAAAAACACATACACATACTGTCCAGGGATCATGTGTACTGTAGGCGAGTATTTTGTTTTCTGTTCACACTGCTGCAGGCGATCAGACAGAGAATGACAGGATGAGCCACGGAGGGAGAGGAAAGAGAGATAAAAAAGATCTAAAGCGCAGACACTAAGAGAAGAATAAAGGGAAAAGAAAGACAAAAGTGAAGTAAAGAAGACAGAGAGGTAATGAGGGAATTTTTCTTGTAATAATTGTGATCCCCTTCTGGATCCTCATGGTGGAACAACACCTGACTAACACACTTGATGTCAGGATGTATGGAAGTACAGATGACAAAAGAACTGAGTACGTGTGAAACTGATGTGAGCTCTGTTCAGTTTTCAAGTCAGCATTTGGGAGAATGAACAAATTTGGAAAAACAGAATGAGTTTTAGCTCTTTTTTTGTCTGTTCGTTTTTGCCTCCAGTTGTTTTGACAGGTTCTTGTAAATGGTAAGTGGACTTCCATGTGCATAGGGCCTTTCTAGTCTTCTCGACCACTTAAAATGCTATTACTGTACATGTCACATTCAGCCATACACTGGTACCTTGTACTACCGTAGAAGGTAACACCTGATACTCAGTTAACCAGTCAGACGCACCCTGACACCTCTGGCAATCATCGATAACAATTTGGGGTTCATTATCTTGCCCAAGGGTACTTAGACATTCTAGACTGGAGGAGCTGGGGATCGAGCTGGCCTGACAACCTGCTATACAACCTAATCGCTCACCAACCAAGCTTCAACAAGACACTCTCCTATCTTAAGTTAAAGGAGCATGGTGAAAGGACAGAAGAAACATACTGGAAAGCTGTTCAAGTGTAACGAAACAGACTCAAACCCAATACATCCGATGACCCTACTACCACTTAGCTCTTACCCCTTAGTATTGTACATACACGTCTAGGGGTAGGATGTCACGATTCTTGTGGGAATAAATGGGTAGAGGCAAGTTTTAGGCATACATGCAAGCGGCAACCTTTGGGGCTGAAAAATGAAGCCAACACGGAAGTGTCAAAAACTGCTGTTCTTTGAATGGCCACTTGAGGTTGACTCCAGAAGCGAGTCAATTCCCATAGACCCCATGTTAAAATCACCAAAATTACAGGAGAAATAGACATGTTTACAGCCTGGTACAAAAAACGGCTTTGGCCTCCATAGCTAATTTCAACATGCATGACAACTGCATGGGGGTGAATATTCATATAACTTCACTGTTACATTTTATTAAGGCTTAAAGTTACGCAAAATAAATGGTGGGCTGCTTTGAGAGACTGGCTGTCTGCTGATATATCCTTGGCTTCTGAGTCAGATCCTCCCCACGTTCCTTCACAGCTCCAACCTCTCGCCAAAATCTGGTCACCTCTGGCTCCAAAAAAACAGATTGTGACAACCAAAGTGCCGAACTCGAGGCTTAAAATGGGATTACACAAACCAATAGGTGATGTCATGGTAGCCACGCCCATTATTTTTCCACTCTATAATTCCATCTGGGGGTAGGGTGTCTCGACTCTTGTTGGGATAGAGGGCTAGGGCGATGTGTGAGGGCTACATGGCCCTCCACATGGAGGTTTTTCCGAGGCACACTCCAAACCCAGTGTCATGAGAAATCATTGGCAAGATGGCTGCACAAGCAACAAAAGAAACCAAGAAATTTTTTTTCTTTGTTAATAACGATTTTAAAATGACCATCCCATTATTTTAATTTCATGTTATTTCACTGTAATGTAGTCCTTTGCACATGGGAGTTGTTTTCCTTGTAGGCTTTTTTTCCCCAGGACAGCTCTTTCTGAGAGAAAACTATTCATTTTAACCCAAACTGAGGCTTATTTCCTCACCTTAACCAAGACATACCTTTCTGGTAGAAAGCCCTCAATAACATTTCTCTCAACTGCTGGTCCTTTTCTATGTAACGAGCGCAAGAAAAAAAGAAAATGCTAGTAGTATGCTGATGTCTCAAAAGCTTACTAGCTAGCTAAGGTTACAATGCCATTGCTGACTTGTATAAGAATCCCACTTATTTCCATATTGCATTCCCCCCCATGGCATATGATGCCTTTAAACATTAAACAAACAAAACTGTTGCACTTATTATTGCTACTCTGATATTAGTGCAGACTGGCAGGGTAGGCACCTGGGTTTCTAACATTAGCCTACAGAGCACCACTAGTGGCCTAGCAATAAAGCAGTGTTCTTTTTCATATGATGACCTGTTTGATTGATTGTGTGAAAAGGCAAATGGCACGATAATACCTTTATTGCCATAGTCACGTAGTCTATGTAAACCAATAGGCTAACGATGTATCAGGTTATTGAAGGGTTGTCCTATCTCATAGGGGATGATTACTAACTCGTAATAACTCTGTTACGAGGGGCAAGGTGGCACTTGAAAACAAGGGGTAGGGGTAAAAATAAGATATGAGATTGAGCCTAACTTTATGTCATGTGCCAAATTTTGAAAATCAGGTTAAGAGAGGCCTGACTAGAAAACAAAACTATTTACATTCAAAGATTTGACTTTGACTACAAAGCGTGGATATTTGGAATCTAGGGTCTGACTTGTCACTCCCCACAGGGGAACAACAAGCCGATAACTTAACCTTTCATCTCCATTATTGCAGCAATTTTTCTGTTGCTGTTTGTGTCAATATTAGCTCTGTAGCTAGCTGGCTAAGTAGGAAGATGGCATTCCTGTTCTTAATACTGCTTACAAAGCTCTGACTGGTCAACTGCTTTTCCAAATGGTGTGTAGATGTGGGCTGTGGTTCAGAGGTTTGTAATCAAGGCTCAGCTATTTGATCAGAGGTATCGGAAACTTTGACATTTTGAGATGTAATGTGGGGGCTGGAGGGAAAGTCAGGGGATCAACAATGCCGATAATGTTCATCTTCTGGGCAGAAAGGGTATCTGTACCAAATCAATTGACCTGATATTTGTCAACATACTTCTGGCCAAAGTGCTGAGTCTGAGACTGCAGTCGCTAGAGCCCGCTAGCATGGCTAAAAATATATACCAAACAGCCAGGGTAAGTCTGATTTTCATGAGGGAGAGGGATGTTTTGTCAAATACAATGGCTCCTTGAAAGAGAGAGAGAGGAAGGGAAGGGAGAGAGAGAGAGATTGATAGATAGATAGAGAGAGAGAGACATAGGGGGACACAGACAGACAAGTAACATAAAGAGAGAGAGAACACAGAGGGAGGTCAGTCCAGATCAGATTTAACCCTCTGGCTAATGTCAAGGCCAGTTATAGTATATCATTCTACAAACACACATACACACTCACTCACGCACACTCACACACGCACACCATGTAGCAGCCTTAGGCTAAGACACTTAGCTTCCCTGAATAAAATATTAAACAAAGTGAGGCGCTCAGCGCAGAGAGTCCAGCTCAAACAAAGAGTCAGTGGGATCTGACAAAACAATCATCAAAAAGCCGGAGCTTCAGGAGCAGCTACCGAGCAGAGCCAGATGTTGAATTAAGAAAAAAAAAGTTTCTGTCATCAGGTGTGATAAACCACACTTATTGTTTAGGCTCAGCAGAGGAACCCAGGCCGTTAGTATTTCATGGAAAAATAATGAAAAATAAGAAAACGCTCTGGTCCAAGACGATGATACGTTTTCCACTGGGAGGGAAGTCTCACTGAAAATTTGTAAATAGTAAAGTACACTATGAGTTTATAAAATACTTCACAAATAATAAAACAAAAATGTATTATATTAATACCTTAATGTACAAAGACAAAGAGAGTATGAGCATTCTTCTGAGTCATTGTAATCTTTAGTGTCCCATGACTTAATTTCACAGTGTCTCAACAAACTTATGCATATTAAGTTAACAGATTGTGCATCAGTCCAAAGAAAATAATGTTTTAACAGTGTATTCAGTGAAATGATGAAGTCATTAAAAGCAAATGCATTCATTTCTTAGTTACCAACTAGTGGACAATAGGAACTGAAGCTGAATCATGCATGTCGTGTCCTGTCACATCAAGTTGAGTCATCATCAAGTTTTGTTAAGTTCAAGTCATGTGTGTCATATTATGTAGTGTGACCTCTGTTAATGCCACATTATATCAGGGATACTTAACTTGCTTTGCTCAGGAGCCACTTTTGTCCCAGTGGACACTTTTGACCTGCTATACCTGCCATCTTCTCTGCTCACTCAGTAGTTTTCCACTCACCCCGCCTCTCCACCACACCTACCTGCCAGCCTTTCACCTGTCCACCATCTCCGGCTAATGCTGGTCCACCACATCCACCTCATCAAGCCAACTCCGATCACCTGTGACTCCTTACTTCCTGTCACTATAAAGACCCCAGCTTTACTGACTGCAGTTGCCAGATTGTTGTTTGCCATTCCTATTATCCCCGGACTACTTCGCAGTTGCCGACCTCACCTGCCTCTGACTATAGTGTGCACACATTGCACTGATATGTTTAACTTCATACTCTGCTTCGCTCGCTGCAGCCTCACTGTCACCGTCACACGAATGGACTCTCCATCCCTCTTCCTCCCTCCTTCCAGACCACACGCTTTTGGCAACAGGTTTTGGTGCCCTACCCAACCTACCTGGCTTTATTTGACTTGGAGGTCAATGTGAGTATCACTGCATTATATCATGATACATAATTTTATGTTAAGAAATGTCACGTCACTATTCAGAAATGGATTTATGAAGAATCTGGGTGTGTCTTCATCTTTGTGAAACAATCAGCTGTACTCACTGGACTGCGGCATCATGGAGGTGTACACTTTGGGGTCGATGGTCCCCATAGGCGGTGGCAGCAGTGGGTTGGTGAAGCTTCGTAGAGGGTGGGTGGGCCGCACGCACGCTGTCGGGATGGTCCGCCCACTCCCAGCCTGGGCCTCCTCAGCGGCAGCAGCAGCAGGGGCTCCTGGGATCGGGCCAACACCGGGAACATGCTCTCCAGGTGGGGCAGAGGAACCGGGAAGGAGTGGAGGGGCCTGCTGGGGCGGAGGCTGCTGCTGGAGGAGAGGGTTGGTGGAGGCATCTGAAGGCATCGCTGAGGAGGAGGGAGAAGGAGATGAAGGGAGTTAGGATGTGTGTAAAGGGGTGAGAAGAACTGTTGGGAGGATGAAAAGAGATAGAGCTGTTAGGGATGAGAGAAAGGAAAGAATGGGGACAGAGAAAGTCAAGAACGAAATACAAAACATCCAATTATTGTAAAGAGTGAACATTCATTTGAAGAAAACACTGAATACATAAAAACAAACAGCAGATCTTCAAACGTGCAAATATTTTATACAGTCTATGATTTTGTCTCAATATCCTAAAGCACTTCAGTTTTTTTATACATAGCATCTGCCTCGACGTAGGCAGTAATATGCTGAGAAAACACAGCATTATTGTGTAAATTACTGTTTCTGCAGGACAGCAGGACAGAGTGTGTTTCTGTCAGGAATGTAAATGTAAATATATTCTGCATAGACCTTCTGCTATATGTTTCATGGGTTTATTCCCCATTAGATATGTACATCGAGGACGATACATACATGCGGTGGTCAAATGTGTTTACAGTCCTTGTTTTTTGCAGTTTTCTTCCATGAAAACAAACGAAAGGACATATTTTATCATTTAAATACTTAAAGACTCTTTGAAAGTGTATAATTTAATAATTTAATTGCAGACGTCAATCTTTTCTTCCTATGTGAAGAAACCCTGAGTTCTGCCAGGTTTGCAGTTTTGTTCTATTACTTTATTGAGTGTGAAGTTTTGCGCTGGTGTTTCTATGTCTTTACGTTGGCTGGATGACTTCACACTGACAGAAATCCTGTTTTATCTTGTCAGAAAAACATGTGAGAGATAGACGAGGAGGAGGAAGAAGGAGAAGAGCTTCCTGCTGAAGAAAGGTCCCGACTGCGTGCAGAAACACGCCTCAGATGTGACATGAGAGATGAAACTCCTCATGTAGCTACAGCCAGCCTGATCAGAGCGTACATGGGAGAGAGAAGACAGCTAGTAATTACATGTAGAGTCGTGTTCATCAACCAGCAGGGACGAGAGGAACAAACAAGAATAGAAGCTGAGAGAGAAAGAGGGCATGAGAGCATCTTGGAGCCTAAAGAAAAGGAACAAGAAACAATAACTCAGAATCTCAGTCATTTTGCTGCCAATCACTGTGGGTGAGACCTAGAATGTCTGGCTGCAAAATGGCAAGCTCTTGAGGAATTAAAATTTTTGTGTTTTGTTTTTCACAGAAGAATACAGTTCTTTTTTGTTATCTCAAGTCATCGGGAAGGTGTGAACAATCATTAAGGGAACAAGACAAGAAAATTGACTCAGATTTTGTTGCTAAAAGGACCAGCATGCCAGATTAATAAATATAAACACATGCTGTTTGCAACTGCCTTTCAGAATGACACATTATAGACTTGTCTGATGTGATAACACTATCATCACAACATCTTTTGTCATGGCCCTTTTACAAAAATAAATCAATTTTCTGATCTTACGAAACTATGGCTGATATTTGGTTTCGGCAAAAAAACAAACAAACAAACAAACAAAAAAACCCTTAGTGTTAAAGGGACAGTTAACCCAAAATCAAAGTTACATATATTTCCTCTTCCATGCAGTGCTAATGTCAGTCTAGAATGTTTTGGTGTGAGTTGCCTAGTGTGGGATATATCAGCAGTAAAAATGTCTGCCATCTTTTTGACACAATGGAGCAAGATGACGCTCGGCTTATGGTGCTCAAAGCGCAGGAAAAAACAAAAACCTCAACAGCAGTGTCTCTTTGCAGAAATCATGACTGGATTACTGAAGATTATCGACAGACTTTGTAATGAGCAGTTTCATGTAAGGATGTGCAATATCATCTCGTTCAGGATAATACCAGAATAATTTTTAATATGATATGAAAAATTCATATTGTCATTCTTGCAATATTTCAACTTGTGGACATATTGATGCCATACTGGTATGGATGGCAACAACAAGCATGGCTGAAAGTGAAATTATTACAGACTCCACGTTGGTTCCAAAGAGAGGAGCAGCTTCAGTAGTGTGGAATAAACTGTGGGATCCTGAATGTTTTATGAACAGCCCTGGACTTCTCAGACTCTTTTAGCTACTTAACGCTCAGAGGGAACTCATTCAGCGGCTCCTCTGACAGCAGCAAAGTGTCTCTCCCTCTCCTCTCTTGTCGTGTGCACATTGTAGCGGTGTTGTCAAGTGATTTTTTCATAAGCCTTTGGTAATGTTAACCTACATGACATTAGCAGCTCGACAAAAAACTACATATATGTGAATGTGCAGCCTGTCATAGGTTAAAAAAAAAAACAAAACAACTTAGTCATTTAGGATTTTGCTAAAAGAGAATGAAATCACCTGTTAAGTTTTATATATAGATCCCAGGGAACATTTTTTTGTACTTGGGAACTGTCTAAATGTGTAATTTGTGGTAGATTTTATTTTGTTGAATACAGAATATGAATTTCACTCTCAAGCCTCTTTTACACTGCCAGATTTTCCACGAATGTTGGGCCGATTTGCCAACCAGCTGCAAGCGTTTATACACACAGAGCCGGATCGGTGAGTTGATCCGAGGTGCCCAATCTTCCGCCTCGTAGGGTAGTCATATTGGCGGAACCCTTTTTAGTTTAAACAGACCGAGGTGACCTTCCGCAACGGGAGGGGCTGTTGAAGACTTGTGGGAGGAGCTGTTGATGACGCTGTATGTGCGACCCACTGGCAATGGATAAACAGGAAACAGCTGATAGCAGGAATTAGCGAGCAGCTAGTAGCACAAGGGAAATGCAAACCTGACAGACACTGTAGAGATGAGCAACTGGGGAGACAAGGAATTGCATGCCCTCCTTGCACTCGCAAACGAAGAGGCCATTAACCGTCAGATGACAGGGACGGTAAAGAACGGGCTAATTTACGAGAGAATTGCCGTCTGACTACTGCTGCCTGACTTGCCGTGGCTTCCCTCCCACGTCACTGTTTACGTCTAATAAAACAGTGTATAAACAGCGTATAAACAAAAGTAGGTAGGCGGCAATTTTCCGCCCTTTGCGATTTTGTTTTTACACTGCTAATGCTGAAAAAAGACTGATTGGGCTTTCCTGCAAATTTGCACAATTCCTTACTGTTGTTGTTCACAAACTAAAGAAATGACAGATCATTTTTGTTTAGTTTTTACTGAATATTTGGAAGGAAAATGTTAGGTTTAAAATATTTTTATCACTAATTTGTCATATAGTCAAGAATACTGTTACTGCAAAAATACCCTGAACTACCATGATATTATTTTAAGGCCATATTGCCTACCCCCTTGTGGAAAAAAAGGGCACAATGCTGGTGATAAATGGGGAAGTTATCATCATTACTCCCCACTCCCTGCTATACCAAGCTTGGTGTGTCCTTCTGGGGAGTGATGAGGTCAGTGCTTAAATGTCAAATATCAGTGCTGTACATTATAAACATTCACATAATTCTTTCCAGCCCTTGTTTTTTTGTTTTTTTTTTTTACAAAATCCACTTTTATAAAAAAGGATTAAGAATGATGTAATCTTCCTTCATACTGTTCATGTCTGTGAAAACATGGATGCTTCACCAGTGGTGTAGTGGTAGTTGAAGAGGTGGGTGTTCTACTAGGTAGATTTACCAAGAGGGAGGTGGCTATACTTACCTATATTTTCCAAAAGCTTTTGGCAGATAATCAACTAGAAAAGAAGTGGGTATACCCTTCACTACACCACTGTGCTTCACACACATCTTCCCCCCAACAGCTCAGAAGATCAGTACAGTTTCAAGGTGGACACCCAAAATTATTGTCACCAAATCAGTATCTGACCAAATGTCTCCCCATCTGTTTCTGAGATATTGTGTTGAATAATGGCCAGAAAAGTGTTTTGGCAAAACATTATGATGTCATAGACAAGGTGACCTTTGACCTTTTGGATATAAAATGTCATCACTTTATAACTTTATTCTATTATAATTTTTTGTGAAATTTTGTCAGATGAGTAAATAAATTCATGACTTATAGTCAAAAACATCTTTGAGAGGTCAAAGTGACCTTGATTTTTTACCGAAGGCTACCAAATTCTAATATGTTCATTCTTGAGTCCAAGTGGACGTTTGACCCAAATTTGAGCAAATTCCTTCAAGGTGTTCCTGAGATTTTGCGTTCACGAGAATGGGACGAATGCAAGATCATAGTGACCCTGACCTTAGACCACTGAATTCTGATCAGTTCATTGATGAGTCCAAGTGAGGTTTGTGCCGAATTTGAAGAAATTCCCTCAAGGCGTTCTTTAAATATTGTGGCCTCCAGCCATGGCTCTTGCCAGTATGGAAGCATAAAAATGTCCACAAAAATGGCGATGAGAAGGATGCAATCATGCATGTTGCTGTAAGTCAACAACTCCTAAATCGATATACTTCTTTGAGCTTTGTGACAAAACCATGCTCCTAGCAACAACTACCACAGCTTCTGTGTCAGCTGGTAATGCTAGTAACTAGCAGGGCAAGACAAAACAAAAGAAATCAATCTAATTCTCAGGATTACATTCTCCTCGATGTATAACCACTTACCAGAAGGTGTAACAAACACAGAAGATGTGACTGCAGGAGGATGTGTCCTCTTTTTCCATCAGCCCCGGTTTGTTCTACATTCACTCCTCCACCTTCCATTATCTCCTCTCCATCACACACCATACTTGACAATAAAACTCATCTCAATCCCTGCAGTGACAGACGGCTGCAAATACACTGTTAAATAACACTCGGTTGTTTTTCTTTTCTCTTGCTCTGACTGTTTGTAAATGAAGAGAAAATCTGAGAACAACAGTCTGCTGGTGACTCACACTGGCTGAATGGAAAGCATAACAGGTGTGTTTAGACATACAACACAATAACACAACAGCTGAGATATTTTTATGTATGTGCGGAGAGATAAAAAATCCACCGCTTAGAGGTTTTGAAGTAGAGAAGAGCAGTGATTTATTTGATTATCTTTTTACTTGCAGTGTCTGCAGAGGAAGTCAAGCTCTG